TGCTAACCTTTTAAAAAACTGAAATGTAATTCAGGTGTATTTCTTCCATACTTTTCCATTATGGTTTAAATTAATGTTTTCAGCAGCCACCCCAGTCTCTACATGTACACAGGCAACCATTGGGACTCTTCCAAGGGTAACCAACATGGACGGGGAGAAGCAGTCAGCCCAGCCACCGTGCGCATGCAAGCCGCCATTGGGACTCTCCCATATGTAACCAGTGAGAGAGCCAGGAGAACCACCCAGCCATGGCTTCCAAAGCCATGAGTGTCTAGAAAAGGCTGCCCTGTACCCCACCGCCTCCTGGGGAACCTGGGTTAGGAGAAACCCAGTTACCTGACCCATCTTCCTGTACTGTGGACAGATAGCCAATGTGGGAAGTACCTGGGACCCCACAACTCACTCTTCTGGAGGAACCCAGGCTAATATCAAGATGAAGGAGCAAAAGGCGACGCTGGCTTCCAGCCCAAACAGAACAAATCCAGGAGACATGGATGTGGAATAAATTGGAAGTCATACACCTGAAATTCCTAGGATGATGGTAACTGAAGTTAAAAAAAAAAAAGACTTCATGTGGCTGTAAGAGAAATCAGATCAGAAATAATATCTCATGTAAAAGGAGAAATGACAAACATAATAAAAGAATTGCTGAGCATATTTAAAGAAGACATAAATTTAAAAAAGGAGCATAGAAGAATGAGGGAGATCTTGAATGAACAATATAGAGAAGAATTGGAATGCGTGAAACAGGTTCAAAGAGATATCCAGGAAGTTAAAAACTCCATTGAAAGCTAGCAAAACTGCTTCAAAGAAACTGAAGATAGACTTTCAGATCTTGAAGACAGGATGGCGGCTAGTGATTGCAAAAGGTAAGATCTCTTAAAATAACAAGGAACCAGGAAATAACAATTCAATGGCTGAAAGACAACACAAAGAAAAATAATTTAAGAATGATAAGTGTCTGCAAAAAACTAGGAATCAACACAAATGACATAAAGAGATTATTTACAGAAATAATAAGAGAGGACTTCCCAAGCATGGGAAAAAGACCTGACATAACAGATAAGTGAGATGTGTAGAACTCCAACTAACTGTAGCAAAAGTAAACATACACCCAGACATATAAATAATCAAGATCCCAGAAATTCAGCACAAGAGCAAAATATTAAAGATTGTTAGAGAAAAGAAGCAGATCACCTAATAAAGGAAAACCCATCAGAATCACGACAGACTTCTCAACACAAACCATCAAGTCAAAAAGAACTTGGGATGAAGTATTTCAATCTCAGAAGAAAACAACTTCTAACCCAAATAACCCAAAACTAGCTTTCAAAATTAATGGAGAAATAAGATACTTCCATGACAAAGAACAACAGAACGAATTCATGACCACCAAACCAATCCTACAAAGAATGATGAAAATGACTACAGTCCCAGGAACAGCAGCAGAGTGGGATCACTCAGCAGGGCAGACAAGTGAAAGGAGGGAAAAAATAGGAGCCAATGGCAGGAAAAAACCATGGCAGAGATGAACCAATGCATGTTGGCCATAACCATTAATGTTGATGGCCTAAATAAAAAGAAACAGGCAGAGTGGATCAAGAAACAAGATCCATCAATGTGCAGAATATAAAAAATACATTAACTAGAAAAAAAATTCATAGACTAAAAGTCAAAGGAGAAAAAACAATGCTCCCTGTGACAGAGAACCAGAAAAAAAGCAGAGGTAGCTTGTCCATAACTGCAGAATAAATAAGAAATACGGCATTTTTATACAATGGAAACCTGCTCGGCTATAAAGAAGGATAATCAATCATGAGACTCTTGGTAAATGAACGCAACTTGTAATCATGCCCTTGGGTGAAATGGTTCCAGCTCACATAGGTGAACATTATGATGTCTTCCTGGTATAAAATACTGGAAGGGTTAGTGGGATCCAAAATGTATAATAGATATTGTGAAATTGGACGGGGAAGGGAAGATAGTAGCCTTTGTTAATTCCCTATTATTTTGTTTTTATTCTGTTTTGTTTTGTTTGATTTTATTATATCTGATGGCAAGGGCAGCTATTTCCAAGATAACAAGAGACTTTATGACAGCCATTGTTGATTTCTTTTTATCTTGTTTTGAAATCCTGTCTCACTTTCACTGTTTTGTTTTGATTGGCTTTATTTTGTTTTATTTTGTTAGGTTTTATTCTCTTCAAAATAAAAAGTTAAAAAAAATAAATGAATATTTTCAGTATTTTTTCTTTCCTTATTTTAGAAACGTGGAAAATTTAGAAAGAACATAAAAATTTAAATAATATCACTCCTTGAAATAATCATAAACATTTTAGTACTTTGCCTATTTGAGTAGTTTTAAATCACTAAATATGCTTATATTATAAGTTATTTTTAGCTGAGCATGGTGGTGCATGCCTGGATTCCCAGCACTTAGGAGGATAGGGCAGAAGGATCACGGAGAAGGTTTTTTATTGTTGTTTGGTTTTTGTCTCGTTGATACAGGATTTCACTATGTGATTCAAATTGGCCTTGAACTCACTTTGTAGCCCAGGCTGACCTCAGTCTTAGAACAATCCTCCGGCTTCAGCCTCCTGCATGCTAGGATTACAGGTGTGCAGCACAATGCCCAAACATCACTAAGAGTTTGAAGGTAGTCTGGGCTATACAGTGAATCTAACTGAACTACACAGGAAGACACTGTATCAAAAAATTTAAAAATATTTTGTAATAGCTCAACTCAAATCTAATATACCAAACATTATTCTTTTTAATGTTGGGTGGTTGTTTTCCCTTCCCTAGGTTTCTATTGCCATTATCTTGCATGATTTAAATTCTTACATTTCAATTTGCAATATATAGTATTTTTTCATGCTTATTACAAAGACAATATAAATATTTAAGTTTAAATATGTAAATTGTTTCTTTTTCATAAATTCTAGAATGTGGAATTGTGGAATTACTTACTGGACCATAGGATAGGAACCACTTTGTGCATGCTGCGTGGTCCGAGACTGCTTTCCAAAGTTTATTCCATCATCATCAGTCCACACACAAATTTCAAAAGAAAGCAGACAGGGACTATATGTTGGGGGGACAAATACTCTGTATTTGTTTAATTTAGTTGCCTTCGTATTTGTTGTAGCCTTAAAATGAAGATTCAGTCATTTGACATTGTTTAAGAATGTTTCAGTTCCTGGTTGTCTGATCTGATGTTATGGTTTTTCTCCCTTTAAGTGGGTTCTCAGTCACATATATTTTCCCATTAGTTCTATATTTTTCTCCTTTGTGTATGACTCATGGTTTCCCCACTGTTAATCATTTTTCTCCAGATGTTCCTTTTCTTCATGTCTCATTAATTTTGTGCATGATTATGGTCTTAGTCTTTGCCCATTGTCACTGCTTCTATGTAATTTTTCTCCTCTTCATCCCACATCTTCAAATGAGGATGTTATTACTTGTAGGATCAGTAAAATATATACATATCTGCGACTTTTATGTGTTTGCCGTCTTCTCATCACTGCTGTGGTCTATTTTGAGCAAACCATCATTTGTACTTACATGAAAGCTTGCTTAATTGTATCCATGTGTCCTCAACATTGTCACTAGACTTCTCGTCTTTTGTATATACAGTTTCTTGCATTACATGAGACTTCTTCAATATTTACAATAGTTATTTATAGTTCCCATTAGCACCGTTTTATTCTAACATAGTTGACCATTTGGGATTTAAACTTTAAAGCATTCCAGAGTGAATAGAGCAAATGTCAAAGTACCTATCTGGGTTTAATTATTATTCATGGGCTCTGAGTATAATATCATATTATGCATGGTATTTAAGGACTTCTAACAACATTACTATACCTGGGAACTTTTGGTTATTGTTAGGCATTAGTTGTAGCTTTTTGTAGTAATCCTACAGCTTAATCTGAAAGCATACTTTAATTCCTTCCCTTATGCAAAATTCTTTCAGTAGTCTCAGCTATTCACTATTTGGAAAAATATGTTCTTTATATTGGTCAAGTTTTAATTCTGAGCTTGTAAATGCCTTTTTTTTTTGCTCCTTTATTCTAAAATTTCCTTATTTTCTTTCCTCATTTTCATGGCCTTGTTTATTCTAATTTATTAAGCATCTATGGCCCTTTATATGCCAGCTGTTTCACATGCGGCCCTGGGATGAACACCTGGGCTTGGCCCTTGTCCGAAGGGAGCTCACAGTCACTTGAGGGCATAGCATATATCAGAACTGGTGCTTTTCAAGGTGGTATTGCCATGAGGGGTCTTGAAGGAAGGAGGGCACATGCCCTCCTCATGCATTGGCACAGTCAGACCCTTTCTAGCCCACTTGTGGGAGGTGCTTTTGAAGGGGAAACAATAGAAGAGTGTGGAGCTAGGAAACTGGAGTGGCGGGTAGGATTTGGGAGCAAGAAAGACATTGCCATGCCTACTCTTATGGGCCACAGAACATAATACTGTATACAGTCCATAGAATGTAAAGACTCCTTCACAGTCTGGTTTTCAGACTATGGCCAGTGTGTAGCCAAAAGCTTGGTGCCCTGTCAGATTCCTAGGCCTTCAAAAGACTGTCTTTATAGGTCAGCCCGGGTATGCCTGTGACATGCTGCCTACCTCTTTTGTTAGGGTACCTTAAAATTACTGGTTTTTCATGAATGCTGCTGGAAAGTTCTGGCTTGCTTTTGATGGATCCCTTCTGGGAGCTGATGGATTAAGAGTCCTACACTGAAATGACTGGATAACCTGTGGAATTGTGTAGACATAGCTCCTCATTCAGTAACAACTGGAACTTGATTCTCCTCTTTTGAAGAACAACCCCCTGCAGAAGCAGAGGCTCCAGCATGATTCCTGCTGGGCTGCAGAAGCTGAGAATGCATCTCTGGGAAGTGGTTTTTTTTTGTATGTGTGTGTGTGTCCTGTCTGTGTTCATAGCCCTAAAAGTTTTATAGCTTACATATGATCTCTTTCTTTTTCTCTGGGCAGGAATCTTACATCTTTTCTGCAGAACTTGGAGAAAAATGTGAAGCCATAGGCAAGAAGATATTGCATTTAGAAGATCAGCTTCATGTGGCAATCCATAGTCATGATGAAGACCTCATTCATATCCTTTTTATCTTGTAGATGAGGCACCTGAAAGGTTACTTTGTAAAAGGAAACCTTAAAAAAATTACACTATTTTCATATGCCTCAGCAGATGGAAAAAAATTATGGCTTATTCAGTATGCAACATTTTTCTCTAGTTTTCATTAAATAATCAAAATTTTTGATTATTAAATTTGACCACAAAGGGGTAACCACAAAGTTCATACATCCACACAATGAAACCAAAACAAAGTACAGTTTCAGCAAATATGAAGCTGAGTCCATGTGGCCTTTGGGAAATCACCAGAACCAAAGCATTTGACTAGCTCAGTTTCTAAAGGGCTTTAAAAATACCAAGAAACCCAAATTCATTCTCAGATTTCTTCATCATATAATTCTGCCACACAATGGGCAGTCAAGTATCAAAGCTAATGACTGAAGAGGATCATGCGTTCTCAGCATCCAACCACATACACACAGCTAAGCTCAACACAGTCCTTTTTTATTCTTTATTTGGTACCAGGGATCAAACTCATGATCACGCACTTGCAAGGCAGCTGCTTATGCCGCTGAGCTAAATCCCCAGCCCTTCCTTTTGTATTCTTCATTGTATGATTTTCTTGCATGACATTCAGTGTCGTTGGAGTCAGCTCCATAAACACCTGTGTCAAAACTGGCTGTGGTGAGCAAGGTGATAGGAGGCTGAATTAGTCAGGTGTAGGAGCCACGGAGGAGCTACACACCAGGGAACTTACGGAGGTTGTGTCACTGGTGAGTTCTCCAGAGAACAGATGGATGAATAAAGGAATAGGTAGACCCATCTGTACCTTTTTAGTTATTAAATGACAAGGTATATTTTCTAGCTAAAACCATTTCTCAGTTCATTCATTCATTTTATTCACCGGCATGACTTCTATTATATGTGTTTGTGAGAGATTTATTTTGACCTTTGTTTCTCATTGCCACCTTCCTAGAGTTCTAGTTATTACATATTTTATCTGTGTGTGTAAGTAGTTTTGAATAGTTAAGGATTAACCCTAATCAGAAGTATTCAGATATATGGTTTAATGATGAATTCAACATCATTTTCTTTCTTGTTATAACTTTAAATTTTTGACCTTGCTTATTATACTTAGCAGGATACTTAATCAGTAATCATTTTCATATCTCTGCCCTTTCTAATTTCTGCCTTTCACAAAACCAGTGTTTAAGCTGTTAGTGGAAGGTTGTCTCAGAAGCAGCAGAAAGAACAATAGCATCTTTTACAGATCACAGTTCATATGCTTAAGGGTCACAGATTTAAGCTCTCCTAAGGGGCCATGATGTCCATTTACAGCCAGAAGTTGCTTCTGGGCACGTGAGAGCCACCTGCTTCTGGAAGCCAAAGCCTGCAGAAGGTCCTGACCCTGCCAGGCATGCGAGGGTTTGAGCAAGAGGCCCCTTGGCCTAGGCAGGCCCAGGAGCTGTGCTGAGCACTGCGGTCAGGGTTTCTACTGGTTGTTTTGAAATTTTCCAAAAGATTAGTTTGATTCTAGGGAGTTGTATAATCTTTACCAGGCCTGGGGACAGGAAAGGAGGCTGAGAATGTACTGAGCAGTATTTCCAAGTGACCCTGTGGCTTTTCTATAGCCAGTCTGAGCCAGGCTCAGGAGATGAGATCAGGGACAAATGATGGAGCATCAGCGTCCTCATTTGCAGCATGGGGACAGTTGTACGCATTTCTAAGTTTTTGTGGAGCTAAGGGAGGCTGTATGCACACACCCTATGGTTAACATAGTCCTTACCTGCAGCAAGGACTTGAGATCCAAGGCCATACACGAGCTCACTGTTCTCAGCCTCTTTGTCCCAATGTCACACAGAATCCTGTTTGCACATGCATAGTGTCTAGGTAGATGGATTCAGTCCCCTTGTAATGAATGATTGAAAGAGTCAGTAACCCCATAATGGCTTATGTAAGAAATCATTTAATTCTTATAAAATTGGTATAAGTATGTAGAGATTCTAGTCCCTGGTTTACAGTCTGGAAAATGGAGGCTTAGAACACAGCACATTCAAGGTCATCTCTAATAGTCCAGAGCCTCCTATCCCCAGGCCCACACTACATGCAGCCCATCAGGAGGCAGCTATGCCTATAAGTGAAGGGATAGATCTGTTCAGTAAAGAAGACAGTCACTTTAAATTTTAAACTGTACACCCAGGTGTGGTGGTGCACATTTGTCCCAGCATGCAGGGAGGCTGAGGCAGGAGGATTACACATTTGAGCCCCACCTGGGCAACTCAGCAATTGTCACAAAATAAAGAAAAAAAAGGACTGGAGTTGTAGATCCATGTGAAGTTGCTGGGAACAATCTCTGTAATAAATATTGAAGTTCCTTTGCCTTTGAGAATTTTGTTAATCCTTGCTGAGATAAATGAGGAAATGTCAAACGAGAGTTGGGCTGTCAGACCACAGGTATAAGGACCAAAGCCAACCCTTTGCCCCCTTTAAATACAGTCCATTCCACAATATGGATTTCAACCCAGACTTTCCTTAGCTGAGGGCTGTGTCCACATCAGTGATTGAGAATCAACACATAAAGGCATCTTTAAACTCATGTACTTAGATTTGAGGGGGACCCTGTGTCTCTTATTTACCTAGCTCTGTGGGACTCCCTAACAATCAAAGCCATTGTTTCACATTAAAATTTATCTCAAGGTTCAAAGGGACTGCCAGAATCTTCTTGCCAAACTCTGCCTGGTTTGTATTTTCATTTTTGATCACAGATTTAGTGCTGAGAGTGGTTGAAAGGAGTAGCTTGTCATCTACGACACAGAAAGCCACATAGTGAGTGTGCTATATTGGTGGTGCCATTAAGCTTACTGCCTGGGCAGTGAGTGGGGGGAGATTAATCTAAATCCATGTGGGGTGTGGTCCGTGTTAAGCCCAGCAGGGACAGCATGTCCAGAGACTACTGTCACTGTGTCCATTCTCCAGGCAGGAGCCCAGGACATCCGCATAAGCTGTGTGTACACGTGCTTGTGGCTGGTGACCCCCCCAGGGACAGGCAAACGATGGGCAGTGCAGTGCTGGGGAGTTTCCAAACAGGTCCTCGCTGCATCCTGTTTAAAGTCACAGTTACTGGCAGCCTGCTGGCAGTCTCTTTTTACAAAGATGCTGAATTAACAAATTGGGGGTGGGGGTTGGGTCGGGGGATGGGCCCTGTCTCTTCATGTCCCTGACAAGCTTGCTAAATTACATGTAACACAGCCAGATGAGAGCCCCACTCAACCAGCTGCTGCTGGGTAGGTGTCTGAGAAGGGTCTGCATCACTAATTAGGAGAGCAGGCTGCAGGAAAGTCTCACGCAGGAGCCAGAAAGGGACCAGTGGCGAGACTTCACGCCAGGGAGCAGGTTCCAGGAGCAAGAGTTTGAGCCTTGAGTACAATTTTACAGTCATTGTGAGTCTTAATTAGCAGTTACATTTTGAAAAACCATTTGAATGTGTTGTGGTTCATATTGAGTAAAAACCTGCTAGGTTTAGGTGGATTTTTTTAAGCAGGGAATTTCACATTTCCTTCTCCTTCAGCTTCTGCAGGTCACTCAGTATCAGAGAAAAAGACCTGTGATTTGTACATTTGGGGTGTATTTCAAAATCCCCAGGGCAGTTCTGCCTGCCTGAGAGTCACAGATGAGATGGGGACAGACTAATTCTATTTGCAGTTGTATTTATATCCTTGTCCGGAAGCCCTTATGGAATTCTATTCTTTCTGCTCATTTGGAATGCGAGGCGCCCAATTGATTAGTTTTGGTGAGTTTGATGCATGCAAAGACTCTAAATACATCCAGGCTCATGGAAAAGCACTACAGCCCCTGAAAGGCTCTTGTCTGATTCAACTTTCAAATGTGTAGGCTGAAGGAACAAAGGTAGTAAGGGTTTGGGGGAAATTGTTCCTCACTCCTTGGAAATGTTTTCTGCCCTAAGAGCTGAAGAGCTGGGAGAGGGACCATAAAGACCTTGAGCTACTCTCAGATCTTACAGGTAAGAAAAGTGAAACCAGTGAGGCTACTCTTCAAGGCATTAGGCACCATGGGTGGATGCAGGGTGGGGACCACAGAGCTTCCCTTTGGCTCCCACCTAGGTCTGAGTGGGAAGTGTGAAACAGACTGCAGTGGGACGGAGTGTAGAAATGGCTGTCTGCTGCTAGCCTACGGCAGCGTGGTGGGCTTGGCACAAGGTAAACAATACAGAACTCCTAGTGCACCATTGAGTTCTTTGATCCAGGTCCTCAGAGTGGTCCAGCCTTCCCCGCTGCTCAGAATTGCTGATGCTGGCCTCTGGCTTTTCCATGTGGGCATGCTTCCAGTGCTACAAGCCATAGTGACAACAGAGGAAAGCTTGTTGCTAAAAAGAAATAAAGTAACAAATGAAAAACAGTTTCAAAGGCTATGCCTTTGTCTCCTTTTGAACCAAACTAGGTCAGAGGAGGAGCTGAAGACCTACTTTTGACTGAGCTATCAGAATAAACACCTGGAATCCAGGGCAAACCTGGGCAACTTTAGCAAGACCCTACCTCAGAATTTAAAAAGGAACTGGGGGCAGAGACAGAATTCAGTGGCAGAGTACTGTGTAGCATCCAAGAGGTCCTGGGTTCTATTCCCAGGGCAACAACATAAAGAGTGATCACTAGGAAAGTCTATTGACAAAATGCTCAGTTACTTTCATATGAAAATGAAACCTCCATTGGAAGAATTCCTGGGTCTTCTGCAAAGACAGCCACAGGTCACCACTGCATTCCTGAGTACCTCGCCTCACTCTGCTGCTTAGTTGCCCAACGATCTTGGTTCACTGTATCAAATGGAATAGTTTATTTTACTGCAAATCAGTAAGAAAATGTTATGAAAATATAACAGGCTCTTGCATAAACACCACAGTCCCTGACAGACACTTGTCTACTTCAACTTTCCAATTGCAGCTTAAAGGACAAAGATAGTAGGAGTTTTGTGGGATTGTTCTGTCTCCTTGGAAATGTTTTCTACCCCTAGATCTGAGGAAATGGGTGAAGGGCCTTAGTGGGCTTCAGCGATGAGCTTGCTAGAATAGTCAGTATTTTAAAACTATAGTGCATATTACTCAGCATAAACTCCAAGTGCACATCACTAAACTTTGGCCAAGATTCTTTTCCAGTATCCAATGTCCTGTACTACACACACACACACACACACACACACACACACACACACAAACACCCTCAGTGTTCTGTTTTTCAATGTACTGCAGGCCTATTTTCCCCGTTATTTGTTCAGATGGAGAATCAGGAAGTCATTCCTGCCCTTTCCGTTGTCCACATCCCATATCCAATATGTTGTCACATGTTCTTGGCTTTTATCCTCAGAACATGTCAAGTCTGGCCACTGCTGTCAGCTCACAGCCACTGCCCTGTCCAAGACATGCTGGTCCGCTCTGGAGAGACTGCAGGACTTCCTCACTGTGGGAGTGCTGAGGTCCCTCTGCTCCACGCACGCCATGGTTCTGTCCCACAGTCCTACGTAGCCTATTGCTTAGTAGCCTCAACATCTTGGCTACTAAGTGATTTCTTTTATATGTGTTGATTTAAATGTGAAAGTAATCTATGTTTGTTGTGAATACCACAAACCTATGAGAAGTAAACTCACATCTCCCGCCCCATGCCACTGTCTGAATCACCTCTGTGTCCTCCTAAAATAGCTTTCTGGCTTAATGCTGTACTCTTGTGTAAAATTTGGATTATTCCATACAATTTTTCTGCAACTTGGGTTTTTTTCTTACTCTAGTTTAGTCCAGACTGTTCAAACCATACAAAATATTTTAGAACTTCCGTTTTATAAGGAGTCAAATGGCTGGTTAGAAAGAGAAGTTTTGTAAATAAAACTGAGTGTAATTATTTTAATGATCATTATGTCATAAGTTCAGTAGATGAAGTTTTCAGGATTTCTGGTGTTTAGCCTTGCACTGTCAGAGTTTAAGGCATGTGTGAGATCTGTTGTGTTAAGAAACAAACCTTAAATCTCATGATATCTCACAATGGAAAAAAGGCACTATACTTTCACAAGAAAAATAAATTTTAAAGCCCTAACCTTATGAAGAAAGTACAAGCTTTGTCAGCAGGACAATTAAGGATGAAATGAATTGCTTGGCTTCATTGGGATTTGTATCTTCCAATCCCCTCCCCCTATTTTGACCCTTGAGTGTGTTAGTGGAGATTAACATAGGAGGGGATGATGTGTTAATTATATAATTTAGCCTCTTTTTTTCACAGCTTCTCTTTCCCTTACCTTCAGTTTCATCCACCAGTATTAGAAGTTTTCTGAGTTTTATTTCAAGAAACAACACAGTTTGGTTTAATTTCTTTCTCTGGAAACCTTTGTCATCACTTAGCAGATTACAAATAGCGGTGTGTAGTTCCAGGCTTCGTATCAAAGGTAATTAAGTCCCAGGAGTTTGTCAGCATTCATAAACCACCTGAGCTCTGCGCTCACTCTTTGTAAATGTGCAGACTTTGTGATAAATTGCTGGGGTATTCAGTCTGGGACCATTTATGGTTTTTGCTGATATGAAGTTGTATGTATTTTCAGTGAAGATTAGTAGACCTGTCCAGAGAAATGGAGAACAAAACTTTCTCAGGTAGGGAGGGAGTGAGGAAGGGAAGGGAGGGATAAAGGGCGGGGGAATAATGGATTCTTCCTCTTTTGTTTTCTCTCATTGCCCTCAAATTCAAGTACAAGTAGTGAACCAGCAGAGCAAATGTATGTAGATTACACAAATGATGAGTCTGGTGAACTTCAAGGGGCTGAAAAGCTGCTCAGGGTAGTTCAGCATTTCTGCTTGGGAGAGGCTCATGTGCATCATCCCTAGTATTTTCTGGAGTTCCTTGTTCAGGACAGAGGGGAAAGCTTGCTACAGTCACACCCAAAGGGTGTTATTTTCTCTTGACTTGGGGGTTACTTTGAGCTGGGTAGAATATTGCAGAGTCAAAGCTCTACATACTGCTTTTCCCAAACCCTTGCTTCCTCTATGTCTGACCTAGAATATTTGAGTGGCCTGAGTTCTGTGATGATTTAAACATGTGTAAGTAGTTTGACCACATTACACTCCCGTGTCCAGATGAGGTGGCATTAGTTTGCTTGCTAGACCCATCCCGTGTCCTGCATTTGTCTTAGGGTTGTTCTGAGGACAGATACAAATGGAAGGGACCTAAAATCTGATTAAAACCACTGTTGGTGAATGTTCCTCTGTGTGAATGTCCAAAGGAAAATCTGTTTCTTACAAGAACAGCAGCCTTCACTGTCCACTATATATTTCATGAATTCTTTGTGACTGTTTTCCCTATGTGAAAAACAACTTTGCGGGGGCTGGGAATTTAGCTCAGCGGCATAAGTGCCTGCCTTGCAAGCAGGCAGTCGTGAGTTCAATCCCTGGTACTGATAAAAACGAAAAAAAGACAAAAAAAAAAAAAAAAAAAAAAAAAAGAAACAACTTTGCGAGACAGAGAATTAAGTACTCAGCAGTTTAAGAAGACCCTAGCCAGCTGACTCAGAAAAGACAAGTTTCTTGCTCACCATCAAATCCTGAGTCATCTTGCTGCTATCTAGAACATATTGAGTGAGGACAACAGCTTGAAGTCAAGGGTTTAAAGTCGTTTCAAAAGAAAACTAGGTTTGAAAAAGTTTGCACCAAGAAGCAGTTAATAGTTCACTGTTCATGACATAAGCTGGTCTAGTATTCTCTCTGTAGTTACAGTGGCCCCAAGTTCCACTTTCTTGAGGAGGTTTTGATTTCTACAGTGAGAGCAGTTGGGTCTGACAGCCATCTACCCCAGCACAGGGCTTAGCAGCGTTGTGGTCACACTAACCAGTTAGAACTGAGTATCTGAGTTGGCCATCTGTCTCAGCCTGGGAGCTGACTCTTCCACATTCTGAAAATCATACTTGAGATAGTTAATGACCCTAGGCCTTGTAGAATTGCAGTCTCTCTTAAAAGAAGTGTAAAATTTGTATCAATATTTAATTCCTACAATTTGGGAGAACTTGGAACTGCAATTAGATGGCAGAGCCCATCTGCTCCAGGCAGGCACATTTGCTTTCTGGGTTCCCTGGGAGGGTGTCAAAACTGGGTCCCCTCCCACTCTTCCTTAATGGCAGCCACAGGCTCTCAAGGGGCAGCTCCAGATGGTGAAGGAGATGCTGCAGGCCATGTTTCTGCAGCTCCAGCCAGCAAAGGAGGTGGGAGGAGGAGAAGCTGGGGCCTCTGGCGCAGCAGCTGCATCCTGGGAAGTACAGCCCTGAAGAGGCCAGGAAAGGCGGTGGTACATGTGTCATAAGGATGGACTCCCCAGTCACGGATGTGCCTCGCTTAATCACGGAGACAGAGCCAAGAGTCTCCCAGCAGGAAGTGGGACCCCTTAATTCTCTTGAACGAAGAGGGGAAGTTTGGAAATTGGGGTATTTGAGAGTACGATTTGCTGGCTTTCCTTCTAAATGTCACTCAGAAGCTCCTTTCCCATGTCATTTGTGAGAGCATCTTTCCTCTCATCCCCCACTAGGCAGCTTGGAGTGAATTCTGCTGGAACCGTATCTCCTTCCCCAGCACTGTTTTGCTTTCTGCATCAACTAAAATAGTTCCTGGATCAAGATCTGGTAGAAAGGAAACTGAATCGAAGACTAGGGTTGCACACCTACTGCTTTCCTATGAACACGAGAGCCAGGGAGCCCCAGTTTCTGGGGTGACAGCCTCCACCTCACTGTCCCTGTGGCTGACTGCTGTCCTGGGAGACTCACGGGCTACTTCCAGAGGAAGCCTCTTTGGGCACTAGACTCCCTGCCATGAGCCACCAGCTGGGCTTTTGTGGCATTGACTACACCTACAACAAGGACTGGCAAAAGGGAGGGAGGCAGTGGGCAGGAGCATGGAAGGGCCAGAAGGCTGCCCCCTCTGTGACTTTCCCCTTCTGGCTGAAACTGTTTCCATTGTCTCCAGGCAGTGACAATGTGGACCCCAGTTCCAGTGCCAGCTCTTCTGGCCCTGCAGGGCCAGGGACTCCTGCTGTGATGGCTGCAAAGCAAACTGCACACTCGGGCTCACTTCCCCAAGTGGCCCAAGAAATGTCCTACAAACATTAGCTAATTGCCACGGACCATAACTCCCGCATGGAGATCTCTGTGTGCACATTGGTATGCCTGTATTTGGGAGCCATGCATAAAAGCCCACTCAAGTGTGTTCAACCCCTAACCCCCCAGCTTGTTTAATGAACTGTGTATTCCACCCCACCCCAGTGATGGGTTGGAGAATACTGCAGTCTCTGGGAGGTCTTTGTCTGAACACTGACTTACATCACTGATTTGTGGGTTAGAGATCAACCCAACTTTCCTAGCATGCTGAGCCTGCAGCTACCCACAGTCTGGAAAGTTGCAGTGAGTAATTGGTCTTTCTGTGCTTCTGTTCTCATTTATATGTGCAGGGATGGTGATACCTCTGCCACCATTGATATCCAAGGACAGGTGATGGTTTTTGTCATTTCCTGATCACATGATCATTTCCAGGAGGTGACTGGTGCTTTGCTCAGCCTTCTGTGCTGTGTGACACCTCTGTTCTATTAAGCAGAAGCTCCTGCTTAAGCCAGCACTTGGCCAGGGGCCAGGCAACAAAGCAAAAGTTCAACATATGAACATGCTGCATTTTAGAAAACACACTGCATATTGGAATCATAAGCCTAATTAATTTTTTTTGCCAGACTTAATTTTTCCATAATGGACCAAATTTCTGAATTATTTATAATCAAGTCTTGGAAGGTACTGGCACCTGGAATCTTTGTATCCTTTAATTTCAGTGAATCAGTACTAGAAGAAAGTCAGGACTGGCCACATTGCCAGTAACAAATTCCTACTTTGGTGTATGTTTTTGAATAGCCTCGTAGACACTGGACATTTAACAGTCACTAACCCAACTATTTTATATTAATCAGATACCACTTCAGAATAATCTGCGATGGTGAAGGCTCTGAAAATTCCAAAGGTTAATAATTGCCTCGAGTGTACCCCAGAGAAGGCCCCCTTTGGTCCCTCCAGGATGGAATATCTCCTTCCTTGTTGAGATTTCTGGTTGAACTTGAGAATGGAGCAAGAGAATGATACTTCGGCCTCATGCTATTCCTCGTCCCTCATTGTCTCTTGGTTTTGGAGAAAGGCTGCTAAGGCCAGGGCTTCCTGTAGCCATGCCTCCTTCTCATGACAACCCCACTCTCCTCAAAGTAGAACTCTGGGACCGTGTATCCCCAGCCCTTCTGCAGGACAATTTTTGTAAGAGCAACATAAAAAAATGCAAGAGAAATTTGGATTTAGATTTAAAAGCAAAACAATAAAAGCATAAGCTGTTATGGAGATATCCATGGCCATGGCAAAAGTGCATATTGAAAATGTGCCTTACAGTGTGATTTCATTGTGATATGGCAAAAGAAAGTGACATATTACACATTTTGGTTGGCCACTCCATCACTGACAGGCTAGTCTTTCCAACATTGTGAAGTTTTAAGGCTGACCTGCTCTTCCTGAAATAAATTAGTACATAATAATGGAGAGTTGTCTTCCTTGCCCTACAGCAAGTGCGAGTTCAGATCTGTTCCTTATCAAGGTGATGTCCTGTAATCCTTACATCATCCTCAGGGGGTGACACCGCAGATGGTGCTCCTGAACCTAGGGAGGCTAATTCTCTTGCCCAAGGCTCACAGCAGGAAAGAGACAAGCTGCTGCTACCTTAACTAGTGCTTTTCCTGAAGTGTCTTTAATGTCCTGTTGGGGGACTGTGAGCTGTGAAACTACTGTTTACACTGTTAAATGTGCATGACCACTTGGGAACCTGTCCAGGGAATAGGAGAAACCAGAGCTAGGGCAGCTCGGCTTCCCATCCCCCAGGTCAGCCCTACTGGGTGCAGGCAGGCTGCAGCACCTCACCATCTCCACTACCGTCCTGTCCCAGCTGTTCCCAGGGCCCCAGAAGTTATCCCAGTTCAATCACCCACAGCCAGACACGGCAGATTTTCCTGAAGTTCCTCCTATAATCAGTATTTTGCACCAAACATCTGTGTACCAGGAAGTCCATTCTGTAGAGAAAGCAACTATATGCTCATTAGTCAAAGCATGTGTATATATAAAATCCATACTTTAATTTCTAATATCCTCACCTTATCTAATCTTTGGATTTTGTCACGTAATTTATTGCTTCATTAAGTTTACTTTTCTAACAAAATTAAGTGGTATCCAAACCACGGTGCTCCTTAAGGATTTTTGTCTTCTGGAGTGTGGATGATAGGAAAATGTAACATCATCTACTTTTTCTGCTACAGGATGATTAATTGTATGATGACTTACTTCACACAGAAGATTTGTAATAAAGCCGTGCTTTAATTATTTGTATGTGTTTATTTCCAGGTATCAGCAAATCAGAAAACCATGGGAGACTGTACTCCAGACGTCTTGGTGGGGAACTTTAAAATAGCATTAACTGGGTAGAGGAAGAAGACAAGAATGACACTAACATCAGGGAAAACATATCACTGGTCATACAGACTGATTCAGTGAGACATGAAAAGTGTCTGAGGCTCACAAGTTGGGAAGGGAGAAACACACCTTAATGTTCACAGGTGATGTCAGTGTGAGGTGGGAAAGCTAAGTGAACAGTCAACCTACAGGCTGTGCAAACAGCAATCACAGGGTAGAGAGCAACAAATGACCCATTTCCAGGAGCAACAGAAAACAGAGGCAATAGCTAGGAATACATTTAAATAAGAAATATATCTTTCTTTGATAAAGGAGATTTTAAGAGACACAGAGAAGTTTGGCAATCTTCATGTCTCTGTGGAGTTACTTATGGAGACTGAGTTTGGTCCAATTTTGTGTTTTTAAATGCCATGCCAGTCTTTCCTATGGTAAAAGTTACACAAATGCCAACACTATCTTGCCTTGCCTCATGATGACTATAGGGCAAACAACTTCATGAGTGCATTGGAACCAGAGTCTGCTTCCAAGGCACGAGAGCTTTGACCAGTTCCATGTATTCCCTCCTTCAGGAAGCACTTGTTGAGCTCCAACAATAAGAGCTCTTCCAACAGATGGGTGAATTTATGAGTGCAGAGGTTGAGAGGCTTAGTGAAAATTATCCAGTGAGTAATTTAAAGTGGTGACCCCTGTAACTCTTGATTTTAAATTAACATAACAAGAGTCAACCAACCCGTAGACACATACACAACAGCAGTTTAATTAATGTCGAACAAGCTACTTATTATTTCTTGTTTCCTGAGATTTTTATTCATGAGAAAGAAATTTAAAACAGTCTGCAAAGATTCATGTATAACCTATTCCTTTACTTTTCCAGTCTTTGTTTATTAAAAAAAATCACATTTTTACCAAAGTGTAGCCAGCATATTTTAATTCTTCTTTTAATGTTTAGTATTATGGTATTTTTCACCTTGCCCGTGATTATGATACTCAGTGCTTTCATTGCTGCACAATATTCTATCAAATTGACCTCCATGGCTTAGAAAGTGCCACATAATTGGACATTAAATTTTTCTTAGTTGTTATAGGTAATGCTGTGATTATGGAGTCACGCATGTGACCTTTTTTGCCTTTTGAACTACATCCTGAAGAGAAATTTCCAGGACTTAGAATACTAAAACAAGAAAAAGCAGCATAGTTGAAGTAAAATTCACACCAGGAAAAAATGTTGAAGATACTAACCTTTATTTGGGGGATGCCAGGCCAGGTATTGAGGAGCCTGATTGATTTTGTGGATTTCCACTCACTGGGAATATGCCCACTGTTCCACACTAGGACTGTCTCAGTAGACAGCTCCGACCATCCAATCAGCAGTGTCGCCCCTACTGTAGCTACATAGTGCTGATCTTGGATCTGCTTTTGTGGACCTGAGTCTGTGCTACCTTGTCTCAGATAAAAGTTGTGGAGCCTGAGACTCTAGGACTAGAGATTGGACTGAGGGCACTTTCTCTGCCCCTTTCGAGATTCTGGGCTGATTCCTTACTTTCGATTCTCAGTGTAAATGTTACAAACTGAAATTGATAGGAATCAATCTTGCTTTCAGGGTTGTGCAAGAACTCGGAGGAGTTGATATATGGTCGAAGACATTTAAAAATGAAGCAGCATATATATACATTTGAAAGTTAAGAGTATGTCTATTATTGGAAACAAATAGAATCAAGGTAAAGAGCAATACAGCCCAGTTTAACACTTGGTGTCTCTCCTATAAAGATGACTCTCCAAGTTAACTACAGCTCAGGTTGATTTTGCTTAATTTTTTATTATAAAAAGGAAGGTTTCCAATTTGTCATTCTATCAACTTTGTTTTCCCACCTGCCATGATGATTTTATATACTCAGGAGAACTCGAATTCTAGAGATACTAAATGCTTGGGTAACTTTTAGTTAATTAACTTAATCCAGCAGAGTTGAGAATGAATATTCAGAAACACTTAAGGGTGTGTCTAAAACCTCTCTCCAAAATGTTTGTGTTAATGTTGCTCTATACTCAAGGCCTGACTCTACATTTCCAACAAATCATGTCTGATTTGTTCTTTTTTGCCTCTCAAAAAAGTACACAGAAAAAGCAATGGTGAGGTAAAAAATGATGTTAATCCATGTACCTATATTGGTAAGATAAGGAGGGGGAGATCAGGCCCTTAGCGGCCACCGATATAGGTATTAGGTTTAGGTAGAGGGAAAATTGGGGTGTCAGAGACCCCTATAGTGGGTTCCAATCCCCTGTCTCATGTTATGGCGCATGCAATAAAGAGCAAGAGACAAAAAAGCCATGCAGCAGGGATCTGGGATGACCATTGTTCATGGGATGCAACAGGCCACAAGGCAGCCAGAACCCAGGTATTTATTGATCACTGGGGTAAATGGCAGCTGATTGCACTAGACAAGTGGCGAGGCAGGCAAGGCTTGTAACAAAGGTAAACAAACCATTCTTGACAAAGGGACAGAACAGCCAGATTTAGGTTAATGAGTAACCTGCCTTGCAACCAGTTCTGGGAAGGAATTTTCCTCTGGAGTCATGCAGACCTCTGCGGAAATGTTGTATCTTTTATCTCAAGTCGTGTACACAGCCTTGGTCAGACTCACCAAATTGAACGCCAATTTAGGGAAGTCACCTCCATCCAGTCTGTACTGCTCACAAGTAATCATTATCACTTTTGGGTCTGGGAGAGGGCGCCATGCTGTCTCCACACTGGGGCAGGAGTAAGACACAGGCATATCTAGTCTTGATCAAACTATGTTTTGTTGATCATTAAACCACTTTTTGTTCTCCAAGGTGTCTTCTGAGAATTCCTGTCACTTGGGGCAATCCATGTCCTGTGAGGTGCTTGCTCCTGCCCAGGGGGCACCCCCAGCTCCATGACAGGGGCTCTGGAATTGGACATTGTAAAAGCCAGCAGTTGACTGTTCTTGCAAATCTTGAAAATATCTTTGTTGTTTTTGTCGTCGTGTCCTCAGTCTTGAAGGTGGATGGATAGGCTAGTTGAGCGTAGGCCTAACCAACCTTGTATTATTAGTTTTTAGACACAGTCCTTAGTGATTAAGGTGCCTGTGTGGGGAGCCGAGCAGGGATCAGAAGCAGAGTTTAAGGTGATAAAGAGACTGACAACACATGAAAGCCAAGCTGCATCCTGCTTCTAGCTGCCCCTTGGGCTTCTCCAAGTCCAAGTAGAAAGTCAGGGCTTCATAACAAATGAAGCCTTGGAGTTTCTTCTGTAAAAGTGCTCACCAGCCAGCACTAGGCTCGGAGTGGCCGGAGCCCAAGCCCTCCTCCCACCTGCCATCACGTCACTCAATTCATTTCTAACCCCAGACTCCATGTGTGCAGGCTCCAAGCCCCTGTGATCCTCCAAAGTGTATTTGAAACCAGCCCCCTTTATTCACTGTTCTCATTTACCTCCACTCAACTTCAGTGATCTCTTTTTCCTATACTTTTTTTTGTAATATTTTGCACTTGGGGCTTTTATTCTTTGCATGTCATTTATTTGTATGCCCTCTGCAGGTGCGGGGAAAGTGGCAGTTCCTGATTGCACAAGTGCTTTCCAGGTGAGCTTGTAGTGATTTTGAAGCATCCTCTTCCTTTGTTCTGGCAGAGCTTTTCTCCAAGTAAGACGAACATCTGTGACAAGTGCATCTCTGGGGACCAGAGACCTGGCTCTGCTTTTTGGGCCTTTGGTGAGCAAAGCCCCACACCCCAGTCTTTCTGGGCCTTGAGGGAAGCAATAGATGCTCTCCATTGGCCCAGAGAGTCCCTTCCACACAGGGAGGCTGAGGGGAAACTTGGGGAGAGGAATAGGAGCTGGCAGGACAGAAGCTCACATTGTGGGCAGAGTCTTACTGAGGTGTGAGGAGATTTTCAAAGCAAAGACATCCAGGTGCACAGGGGCACATCTCTAATGTCAGCACTCTGGGAGGCTGAGGCAGAAAGATCACAAATTGAAATTCAGCTTGGAGACTTAGAGCCTGTCTCAAAATAAGAAAATCAAAAGCGGGGAGATGTTTAGTTCAGTGCAAAGGCCCTGGGTTCAGTCTTCAGTACTAAAAACAAAGAAGTGAGGATGACAGTAAACCAATGCACTTTTACAACATATGGGATGAAGTAATGAGTACATAAAAGCAAGACTACAGGGTGGCAGATGACACATTGCAACCTGCGAGGAAAACAAAATTAACGAGGCCTTCGTGAAAAGATGTGTGCCACACAATGCATAGAAAACTGTCTCCGATTTACTGCTTTACCCATGAGATTCATTGTTGCCATGGAGGGCAAGGCCATATGGCTGTCTTTCCAGGCCAGGTTTTGCCTTTGAAGTGAAGCAGGGAAGGGCAGCTTGCTGGCTCGGCGGGCAGTCAACTTCCAGGGAGACGCCCACCTTCCCAAGCTTTGATCCACATGAGGTATGTTTTTCAGTGTGTCCTCAGCAGATGTGTGTATATCAGGAGCCCCTTAGGCTTCTGCCTAAGCAAGCAGCAGGCCCCAGGATAAAGCAGGGCACAGTTATCAGACCTGCTGTGCCAGGTGCCCATGACCCCAACGGCAGACACACATGGGACACGGGAAGGACTGAGCTACGGCAGGTGTCCCTAGGGATATTAGAGCAACCACCTGGGAGGATGTAAAAGGGATTCAGCCAGGGAAGATGCACACAGCATCATACCATTTAGATCCCTCCCACTCCACCCCATCCCTGACTCGCTTTATCTATCCTGTGAAACTTCTTTCCTGTGGAACCATCTATTCATTTGAGGAAGTGATAGAAAATCTGAAATCAGAACCACTAAGAAAATTTCTGTAATTATACCTCAACCTGCCTATGCCCTATTTTCACTTTCTTGTTCTATCAAGAAATCATTATT